CTGGAATGCTGATTGGCTGTTGGCAGTACACAGTGCTGTGAAGTGACAGGCTGCCATATTGGTACTCCCTCGTTAGCCCGGTCACAATATAAACAATAAGTGCGCTACAACATTGAGCAATAATGATTTTTTTTTTCATTTTAAGGGAGACTTAAGACTTTTAAAATGAAGATGAATTACTTTGACACAGACTGGCTGTTTTATAGCATCAGTTGATTACTGTCATTTTACCGTGGAAGATGCTGCCGTTCATAGTGGCTGGAAGTGAATAGAAAGAATTTTTAATGTTTGTGGGAAAGAATAGAATAGATAGAATCGAATAGAATAGAATAGAAAATCCAGTTATTGTTGCAGAAAAAAGACTATAGAAAAAAAATGGTCACACAAATGTGGACCTTAGAAAAATGTATAAGAATAACATATTAGGGAAGAGTTCAAATATAAACATTATTGCAACGTTTTTTAACAATATAAAACTGGAGAATAAATAATTAATGGCAGCAACATCAGAGATGTTTAAAATGACAGCAGCAGGTTATTTAACTGACCAAGGCCAGCTGTCTCTGAGCTGCAATCTACACACACAGAGGGCGTTTTCATCCTTGCTGGAGATTTTAATCAGGCAAATATGAAAACTGTTCTCCCTCATTTTTATCAACACGTGGATTTTGCTACTCGTTGGGAGAACACTCTGGACTGGAGTTTATACAAACATAAAAGACGCATTCAGAGCAGCCCCCCGCCCCCACATCGGCTCCTCAGACCACCTTTCTGTGATGCTAATTCCTGCATACAGACCCCTGCTGATCAGAGCAAAACCTACAGTGAAGCAGGTGAGGGTCTGGACGGAGGGGGCCATGGAGGCACTCCAGGACTGCTTTGAATGCTCTGAATGGGACATGTTCAAATCAGCAGCAACATATGACAACAAGATCAACGTTGATGAGTACGCCATGACTGTTTGAGCCTACATCAACCACTGCATCGAGGACGTCAGCACAACAAAGAACATCACCACCCGAGCCAACCAACGGCCCTGGATGACTGAGGAGGTCCGCCACGCGCTAAAAGCACGGAACTCAGCCTTCAGGTCTGGTGACAAGGAGGCACTGAGGACAGCTAGAGCCACCCTGAACCGTGCCATCAGGTTAGCAAAGCGGAACCATAACCAGAAAATCCAGCATCTGTTCCACGACGCCAACAACACCAGGAGCATGTGGCAAGGCATACGGGCGATCACAGACTACAACACGCCCTCTGCCCCGGTGGATGAATTTGATGCTGACTTCCTAAACGGACTAAATAACTTCTTTGGGAGGTTTGAGGCACTAAATCGCACTCCAGCAGTGAAGGCTGTCCCACATCAGGAAGAGGAGGTGCTCTGCCTTGACACAGCCGATGTGTGGAAGACTCTGAGGAGGGTCAACCCGCGGAAGGCCCCAGGTCCCGACAACATACCTGGGCGGGTGCTCAAGGAGTGTGCAGGTCAGCTGGCTGGTGTCCTCACAGACATTTTTAACACCTCGCTGGAGCAAGCCATAGTGCCAGCATGCTTCAAGTCTGCCTCCATCATTCCAGTGCCAAAGAAACCTCAAGTCACCTGCTACAACGACTACCGGCCCGTCGCACTGACTCCCATCATGATGAAGTGCTTCCAAAGGCTGGTAAAGGAACACATCATCTCCAGTCTCCCCCCAACACTTGACCCGTTCCAGTTTGCCTACCGGCGAAACCGCTCCACGGAGGACGCCATCTCCTCTGCTCTTCACCTGAGCCTGGCCCACCTGGAGGAGAAGAACACCCACGTGCGGATGCTGTTCCTGGACTTCAGTTCAGCGTTCAGCACCATCATCCCACAGCACCTGGCGGAAAAGCTGGAACATCTGGGCTTCAACACACCCCTTCCAAACTGGCTGCTGGACTTCCTCACCAACAGACCTCAGTCGGTCCGGGTCGGTCAGAACACCTCTGACGTCATCACCCTCAGCACGGGCTCCCCTCAGGGCTGCGTCCTGAGCCCCCTGCTGTTCACCCTGATAACACATGACTGCGTCCCCAGGTTCACCACCAATCACATCGTGAAGTTTGCGGACGACACAATGGTGGTGGGCCTCATCAGAGACGACAACGACCAGGACTACAGAGAGGAGGTGGAGCACCTGGTGGGCTGGTGCAGTGAAAACAGTCTGATCCTGAACGTGGAGAAGACGAAGGAGATCATCGTCGACTTCAGGAAGAACCGGCCCCACCACGTTCCACTGCTCATCAACAGCTCAGCTGTAGAGGAGGTCAGCAGCACAAAGTTCCTGGGGGTGCACATCACAGACAACCTCACCTGGACTGTAAACACTTCATCTCTAGTGAAGAGGGCACAGAAGCGCTTGTACTTCCTGCGGAGGATGAGGAGGGCCCGCCTGCCCCCCCCATCCTCACCACCTTCTACAGAAGCACCATAGAGAGCGTTCTGACCAGCTGTCTCTCTTTGTGGTGTGGAGGCTGCAGAGCCTCTGACTGGAAGAATGTGAGGAGGGTGGTGAGGACAGCAGAAGGAATCATTGGGGCTCCTCTTCCCTCCATTAAGGACATTTCATCACAACGCTGTGTGTCCTGAGCCCGTAATATCATCAAAGACCCCTCACCCCCCCACCATGGACTGTTGTCCCTGCTGCCCTCTGGGAAGAGGTTCCGCAGCATCCGCTGCAGATCCACCAGGTTCTGCAACAGCTTCTTCCCCACTGCCGTCAGACTGTTGAACCTTTGATCCACAAACCGAACTCTGCACCTATTGCACATTATCAGGCATCAATGCTGCTGAACGTTTAACTTTTAGCCCTTTAAAGGAATAGTACACCCAAAACATGATTAGCCTTTATTTTCTACTCCCCCCCCATGCTGAACAACACTCTGGAGTACTTTTTTATATCTCAAATGCATCTGGAGATCTGGGAGGCTTCCTGCTGTCTGCAGACATTCAAATAATGGAGGTCTATGGCGCCCGAGGCAGAAAGGTCCATAAAAGTCCACAAAAACGTGTCAATATTCCTCCATACTGCCCGTCCAATGTATTCCAAGTGTCCTGAGTGGGTAGCGTCCATAATTTACTCGAAACGAAGTCATTTAGAATGTTTTTAGAGCATAAACAGTAGTGTATAGGATTTCCTAAAAGCGCGTTCACGAGTCTACGGAAACCACGGCAGACCAAACCAGATGAAAGTGCGCATTCAGCTACGTTAAAGAACTCATGCTCTTCCTCAACACTGAAGTCCTCAGACATTTTTCTTTCGTTGTTTCTTTCTTTGCACAGGTAAACAGCACATTTCTTCTTCTACGCTTGCATTATCGGCAGAGCAGACGCTGAATGCGCACTTTCATCTGGCTTGGTCTGCCGCGGTTTCCGTAGACTCGTGAACGCGCTTTTAGGAAATCCTATACACTACTGTTTATGCTCTAAAAACATTCTAAATGACTTTGTTTCGAGTAAATTATGGACGCTACCCACTCAGGACACTTGGAATACATTGGACGAGCAGTATGGAGGAATATTGACACGTTTTGTGGACTTTTATGGACCTTTCTGTCTCGGGCGCCATAGACCTCCATTATTTGAATGTCAGCAGACAGCAAGAAGCCTCCCAGATCTCCAGATGCATTTGAGATATCAAAAAAGTACTCCAGGGTGTTGTTCAGCATGGGGGTGAGTAGAAAATGAAGGCTAATCATGTTTTGGGTGTACTATTCCTTTAAGTTCATCTCATTTCTATTCTCAATAACGCATTTTTTGCACAAATGCCTATCTGCACTGAACCATTGCAATTTGCACACTGTCTTTATCCTCTGCACTGTTTACACTTTGACCACTGCTGCACTTTTTGTATAACTCGTGCCATTTGAAATATCAATGCAATGTTCATAAGCTGTATGTAAAGCAATTTCGTTCTGTATGCACTCTGTGCATACAAAATGACAAATAAAGAGGTCTAAGTCTAAGGCAGAAACTGTGCAAAATCAGCATGTGTGGAAGTACTGATTGAGGTTTTTGGGAACAGTGGTGGTTCTAGAGTCTCACAGTAAAAACTGCAGGTACCAGAAAATACAATAGAATATTTTTTATTGGCAGGTTTTACATTTCTAGTTAATTTTGGTATTCATAAACTGTTTCTCCATAGTTTTTTTGAAACTTTTCAGTTTAAATCCCTTGCTATTTATCTATTTTTCATATGCAGAATGTGATAACAGCTTGCAGATAGTGTCTGTCTCTCCCCAAATAAACTCCTGGATCAGCTTTTCTGATTGGTTGATGCTCCGGTGTCCAGCGGCAAAAGTCCACATTTCTGAACTCCAGCATCGAATGCTGGGAAGCTCTGACAAATGAATACCTTAATGCCAGAACACTCTGATGCACCCCTCCAAAAAATCAGATGCACCGGTGGACCTCTTGACGCTGCCCCCCATAGACATTGCATATAAATCAGATGCTTTGACGCCCAGATTGTGCCCGATGTTAATACCATAAGAGTCTTGGTCAAGGCTCAAAGCAGTTACAGCAATGCAAACACTCTAACCATTAGGCAATTACTCCCAAATTAGGAATGTGTCTGATGTAAAAAATGAAATGACAAGTCAACGCAGGTTGTAGTAGAAAATATGTTTCTGTGGTTCTCTACAGACTGGACCTGAAGCATTGGTTCTTTTTCAGACTGATTGAAGCCCAGAAGATGGAATATATTCATCCTAAGGAGGATGGAGAAGGACATCCCTCTAGGAGTATTGATGGGTTCAAAGTCAGTAAAGAACCTCGACCCTCTGCTACAAGGTAAGAAACCAGCATCAGACTAATTAATGCGACTCCATAGAGATGTAATAAAATATTAACTGCTTATCATCAGCTTCTGAATAAAAAGTCATTTCATTCTTATTTTTACTTAGAGGGGCCTTGTCACTTCTCATCCCAGAACAGTATTTAGAGCAATGGTGGCATCACTGCTGGCTTTAGTCACTCCAAAGCAAATTTAATTGCACTCAATTGAGATAGGAGAACAGAGTAATGCAGAAACCTACTCAGAGGAAGATTCTCCAGTTTGGATTTCCAAGGCAGAGACGGAGCTCATTGCACCGGGGAAGTAAACAAGGTCAGATCCTAAACAACAGGTAGAGTGAGGCTTACAGATCAGGGAAATGGACAAAAGGTAGTGGCCAAGAGGCAGAAATGTGTCTGATGTGTCATGGCTCAGAACAGAGGACCCAGTATTACAAACAGACAGTTGGATTATTCAAAGTGTTTATTTTAAAAACTGCGGATCTGCAGAAGCAGCAAGGATGTCTAAGGCAGGATGAAAACTCAGGTAAGTGACCAGGCTAATCTGACGGAGGATGACTGTGAATGTTTGAGTCACTAACCTGGTCCTAAAGTTCAGTTCGTGCCCAGACGAACAGGTAGATTCCAGTAATTGGGCTAGCGAGAAGATGAGGAGCTGCTCAGAGTCCCAAGTGCCACAGCCACGGAGGACAGAGAACCAGCAGGAGACGAAATCAAGGCATAGAAAGGAAGGCAGGATAATCCAGAGGGCGCCTAGGGAATAATTGTAAATACATCAGGTATCTTCCAAATCCAAAGAGAAGAAATAAGAGTGTCATAAATCCAAACATCTATATGTCTTCCATGTCCTAGATTGACAACATTGTAAAACACACCATCCTCCAAGTCTTCCCGGCAGGACAGGACGGGTCCCCTTTTCCCTGTCTTCCAGTTGAGAAAATGTAATCTATTGTATTGAGAGACCAGCTGACCAGATCCATTGTTTGAAAATACAAGACAGAGAGAAGCAGGGACAGATCAGCGAGGAACAGGAGCAGCAGGAACATGCAAATGAAAACTCAAAAAGAAACTTAAACAGAACCAGAAAGTTCACAAAGGGCAGAATCATGACAGGAAGACTTTGCATATAGAACCAGAGTGAGCAGATGGCATAGAAATTGGCTAGGCCCTGGTCTGTGAAAAGGCTCCTTTACAGCTTAACAATCATGAAGGATTGAAACGATAGTGTTAATGAAGACCTGAGTGAATTAACAATGAACGAAAAATGTTGCATGAAAACAAGTTAACCAAGACTATGAGAATCAAAAAGACTTTGAAATTGTCTCTTCAATCCAGAACACAGTGTTTCTTGGGAGTCAGCTCAAAAAGTCTCAGGTCACCCCTCTTTATATTGAGCTTCACTGCCTGCATCAACTCCCTGATGCTGTTGGAGGTTAAATGGTAGATTCTCAAAAATCAAGATGTCTTCTGTCGATTATCTCATCTGCCCACAGGACGCGGGAAAAGCGTTTATTCTACAGGTCAGATTCAGATGCTGTCTTCAGTAGACCATTACAGTGCTTCACATCACAACAGACAATCTCAGCTATTTCCCAATCCTGATTCCATCTCAGGCTGTTTTATATCGCGAAATCTTACTGGAATGAACGTGTGCTGGTCAAAGCCAGAGGTTGCTCTGACACTGGAAAGAATGTTTATACAGACATTCTCTGTTTATTCGAAAACCTCTTAATATATCTTCTAATTGTGTACGAATCAGCCATTAGGGACCTTGTTATTGATAAGACTTACTTGACCTTCAGCATGTACTGTTTTTTTTGCTAAGTAAGTATAAGGCCACAAAGGACGCTATATAATATATACAATTGCTTCAGAATTCCCCCCTGTAGTTCATTGCAGATGAAATATTTTGTGACGTTACATAGTGATGTCAATACTACGCAACTAAGTGCACTAACGTGTATGTGAAGATTAAGTGTAAAACGAACACCGACACACCCTGATATGGGTGTAAGTTGGGAGATATAAACCTTTAAATGAGTGCCAGGATTAATAATAAAACCCAAGTGAATATTAAAACAAAATTAATATTACTGAACCCTCAAAGAAAGATCATAATTTTCCACATGGCCAAGATATGATTAGTATGAGATCGAATACCCCTTCTTCGTCCTGTGGGCGTCTTACCCTTTCATGTCATACTCTTTCAAGAGGAAACTATCCCATCAACCCATGCTTCCCCCGGACATCCAGCCTTCCCTCCGGCGTCAGCCGTAGCACAAATCGCTTCTTGACCATGCTACTCACGATGATCTGTAAACCAACACTGCTTGAACCCTTCAACCCAATCTTAATATTACATAATATGTGAAGGATAACTATCTAAAAACATTTCAAATTAATTTTACTTAGTTGTCAGTGTATAAGGCTAGGTAAATGAAAAGGAAAAAAAGAAAAAGTAAGTCAGTCAGTTAGTAGTCTGAGTCCCAAGTCCTCTTAACAGCCGGCCATGTATAGTCTACCATGTAAAATAATAAGACAGTAATGCAGATTATAATGCAGGATAATGGAACGTTACATCCATGTTGTCATCAGGATTATATTTACTGAATACAGGAATGATTAATGCTGGTGTTTTCTTCTTTTCTGCTAAAAAAATCAAAAATATAGTTATTTTACGCTCAGGGGCTTGTCCCTGGCCTTCAAAGCGTGAACACAGTAGCATGTGTTCACGCCTTCAACATTCTTGCAGTGGCTGTTAGATGGTTCATAGTTGGGCAGTCCCTGTTCCTGGGTCGTCGTCATCCATTTGTAAACCGTCATCATTATCCATCCAAGCAGAAAAAACACAATCAGTGTAACTGTCACAATTACCCCAATCTTTACTGCAAGTGCTCCCCATTCACCTAAAATTTGCTCCAGGCTCTTTAAAGACAAACCACTATGGCCAGCTTTTTGTTGCATTTCTATTTTTAGCTTGTTTACTTTTTTTTTTTTTTTTTTTTTTTTTAACAGTGTCCTGTCTGGCAAGGTGGCAATAAGAATAATTGTCTTGATGCCAAAAGGAGCCCAACAGATTTTACTTTCACAAGTGTAGCGGTATCGCAATTGCCATACTGCTCCACTTGTTTCATGTATATAAATTGCTTTATTATAATTATGCAGGGAGTTTTACAGTTCATATGGACACTGCAATGTAAGTAGAGCAGAAAAACAGAAGAAGAAGAAGGAAAAAGAAAAAGAAAAGAAAACAGGACAAAAGATGAAAGAAAGAGGAGATAGGAAGGAGACAATGACAAAACATTTTCAGTCTGCTTCAACACCTGTAATGAGATGGAAAAAAAAAAAAAAAAAAAAAAAAAAAAAAGAACAGCACAACCAAAAGACATGGTACGAGATATACAATAAAGCAAACACCTTGAAACTATCACTAAAGTAATATTATTAAGTCTGACATGTACTCTGTGTTACCAGAAGATATGAATGTGGGGTTTCTGTTTGGAAGTGAATCTCCAAGTACCTGAAGCCTAGCACCTGTAGTTGTTTGTGAGGGTGAACTTGTGCATGTAAAGTTTAACCATAGAAAAAATGCTCAATAGTGGTTGTGGAGAGCCGGAGAGGCACACCCCCCAGAGCACTGAGTCCAGCGCCGGGAGACCCAAAGCCCCAGGCGCCCAAGGGGACCCCAGAAGCGAAGGCACCAAGGCGGGGCCAGCCCCGGAAATCAGACCCCCACCAAGGAAGGAGGAGAGACAGCCACGAAGAAGCCCCCCAGCCACCGCCATGCCGGCGCCCCGGGGAGCCGCGGGGACGAGTCCACGGGCCCCGCCGGCTGCCGGCCACCCCGAAGTAGGGCCGGGCACCGAACACCAGCCCCCCCCACGGCGCCGACCGAAGCGCCCCAGCCCCAGAGAGCACCGAAACATGCCTCGCCCCCCGGCACCAAGCCCCGGCGACCGGCCGCAACACCCACCGCGACCGCACCACCCAGGAAAAACACTCAGGCGGCCCCGCCCCCGGCCGGGGCCCACGCGCATCCGCCGCGAACCGGCCGCGAGCGCCGCGGGAACCCTCCAAAACGCCCCCCCTGGCCAAAAGCGAAGCCCCACCCCACCGAGGCCGATGCCAACAGCCCGCAACGAAACACACCGCGCACAGAATCAGCCCGAGAGCAGAAAGGCCGCCCGGCGCAAAACCGCAAGAAGAGCAGACCGCAGCCGGCGCAACCACCCCCCCCAGAAGCCCGAGGGGCAGCACAAAGCCAGAGCGGAGCGAACCGCGCCACCCCCCCACCGGACGAAGCCAAAGCAGCTCAGCCACGTCTGCCGCCCCCCCCCCGCCGCCCGCACCAGGCCCTGACACACGGCCAGAGCAGCTCCGCCGCCCCGGCCCCCCAACACGCGCCGGCCATAGCCACTCCAGGCCCCCACCCGCCGCGATCAGCGGGAACAGAGCAGCCCCGCCATGCCTCCAGGAGGGAAAACTCACCCGAATACCCAGCCAGCGCAGCCAGCCCGCCCAGACCGGCCCCCCAACACCACCCCCGCCGGAGCCGGCCGGACCCCCACATACCAGCGGTGCGCCACCAGCAGGACCCCCACCCAGCAGGCCCGCCCGCCCCCCGAGAAAACAGACATGCCAAACCCCCCCAAAAAAAAAAAAAAAAAATAAAAAAAACAAAAATAAATAAATAAATAAAAAAAAAAGCGGACACCAGACACCGACCCGCAACCGCTCCCCCCCACCGAGGAAGAGAAAAAAAAAAAAAAAAAACATAGGTAAATACATAAATTAATTGATAAATTAATAATTACAATTAAAATAAATAGGCAAGAGGAGAAGTGCGAGCGGAAAAACCGGAGCCCAAAACAGGACCCAAGACCCGCACCCCACCATGCCGTGCAGCTCCCCCCCCCCCCGAACCGGTACCACAGAACCGGCACAGGAAAGAAACACCGCCCAGGAACCGGCATCGTAGCGAAGGCACCGGCACCGAC